GAAGGGTTCACCCACTCAACATCTGATCTACTTCAAGTCCCACTTGGGTATGATCTCCGGCAATGAAGCCTTGATGGTTCGGTCATTCGTTGGTACCCTTCGCGGGCCCGCCTTCGATTGGTACCGTCGTCTCAAGCCCGGAAGTATTAACAACTGGGGCGATATGGAGAGCTCATTCCTTGGCAGTTTCTTTGATGACGACGATGAGGTATCCATCAGGACACTTTTCGATGAGAAGCAAGAAGATGACGAGACAGTCGACGACTTCGTCAAGCGCTTCCGGAATAAAGCAATGAACTGCCGAGATCCGATCACGGAGGACTTCATCCTCCAGACATGTCATAACAACCTATCTATTGAGATATTGGAAGTTATGGGAGTCGCACCGTCTAACGCTTGGAAAAACTTAAAGGTGCGCGGTGAACAAGCCGAACGCTTCCTCCGAAGGAAGAAGGCCGAGAGGAGCCAATCGACGGCCAATCCTCCGAACTCAAACTTTGCCTCCCGTGGTAAGGGCAAGGCACCTGCAGCTGCTGTTAGTACAAATCAAACGTCACAACAGCAATCCCGAAGGCAGCAAAAGACTTCGGACCCGAGACTCCAAAAAGAGTATTCTTTCAAGGACGAGGACGTTCCAGCCATCTTCGAATCTCTCCTTGAAAACAACAAGATTAAGCTTCCACCCATCACAAATCAGGAGGAAGCTGATAACATTTTGGATCCAAAGTATTGTGCATACCACAGAAGGATCCTTCATCCCACCAAGGCTTGTTTCGCTCTCAAGAATAGCATCCAAACCCTGGTTGAAGCAGGCGTTATATCGCTCAGTTAAGTCGCAGATAACACTCCGACAAGTATAAGAGTATAAACTGCTTCTTAATCCTCCGATCGGTATAAGAGGTTAAACTGCTCCCTGACACTCCGAAGAGTATATGAGTATAAACTGCTTCTCAACACTCCGACAAGTATAAGAGTATAAACTGTTTCTTAATCCTCCGACCGGTGTAAGAGGTTAAACTGCTCCCTGATACTCCAATAGGTATATGAGTCTAAACTGTTTCCTACCGATGATGGGAAGTTCCTGGAGAATGTTACGTTAATATTCTTAAGGATAACCCGGTCATGTAACGGAGTACAAAGTCAGACCCAGTTCCAAGAAGGAAGCTGGGGGTGGATGATTCATGTAATGGGAAGTTCCCAGAAAAATGCTATATGTAATTTTCTTAGGGATAACCCGATAATTACGAACAAGGTGATAAACGTTAAACCCCCACCATGATTTGTACTCCCACTCTCACTATCTACCTGGTCAAACATTCCTATAGTTAGGACCACAACCAAAGTCCCCTCTTGATTCCTCCAATGAACGAGAGGTCCACTTTCAAATCGAGTGATCAAACCTTCTTACAGTTAGGATCACCTTAAACTCACCTTTAGTTCGATAATCAAACCTTCCGACAGTTAGGGTTATCCCAATCTTTTCGATTCTCGGAATGGAGATCCCACTCCTAGTTTCACCTTTCCGGATTCTGGGGGTGGAGATCCCACCTCGAGTTTCCTTTCCAACTGGAGATAGAATATAAAATTCTTCCCCTTCAGCTTTGGGAGATAGGATATAAAATTCTTCCTCTCCCGCATCGGGTTCGTCTTTGCCCCAGGAGAAGACACCAATTTTTCAAACTCCTAAAATCCGTGCTTCACAAGCACGGGGTATTTTATCCCAAAGCCTAAGTAGGGATAAGTCAACGCCTAACTCGCGTTGCCGGTTTAGTCTTTCACCGATTGAAAAAGACACCAGAATCCAGTCTGGGGCATTTTATCCCGAAGCCTAAGTAGGGATAAGTCAACGCTTAACCCGCGTTGCTGGGTGGTTCGTTCCCGTAAAAATGACCGAGTCTACGTAGTCTAAGAGAAGCAATTCTCTTGGCACAACGTTACATGTGAAACGGGTTTTAATAATTCACATGCTAGCCCGATTCAAACGGTAATCGGTAAAGGCACGTCAAACCCGTTGATGGTTGGGGGTTTGCTAAAAATCCCAAAATCTATGTCTAATACGCATAGCCGGTTTAGTCTTTCACCGATTGAAAAAGACACCAGAATCCAGTCTGGGGCATTTTATCCTGAAGCCTAAGTAGGGATAAGTCAACGCTTAACCCGCGTTGCTGGGTGGTTCGTTCCCGTAAAAACGACCGAGTCTACGTATTCAGCATCGTAGCAACAAAAATCCATGCCTTTTATGCATGGGGAATTTTATCCCGAATCCTAAGCAGGGATAAGTACGCCTAACACGCGTTGCCGGTTAGTCTTTTGCCGTGAAAAGGACAAAAGCCTACATATTCGACATTGTGGGCCAGCGTCTAACACACGTTGTCGGGTAGCCTATTCCCGTAACAATGGCGAAGTCTACGTATTCAATATCGTAGCATCAAGTCTAAGGGAGTTCATTCCTTTAGCACAACGTCACATGCGGAACGGACTTAAACAATCCGCATGCAAGCCCGATTCAAACGGTAATCGGTAAAGGCACGCCAAATCCGTTGAAGGCTGAGGGTTTGCCAAAAACCTTAAAGTCTACGTCTGATACACGTCGCTGTTTAGTCTTTTCACAGGAGAAAGACGAAGTCTACGTATTCAATATCGTAGCACTAAAAGAGTTAACTCTTTTAGCATAACGTTACATGCGGAACGGACTTAAATAATCCGCATGCTAGCCCGACTCAAACGGTAGTCGGTAAAGGCTTATCAAACCCGTTGATGGCTGAGAATTTGCCAAAAATTCTATAAATGCGAGTCATTGACGTATCAGCTTCATTAGTTGGTCTCATGACTTGAACATCCAACAAACTTCAGGATAAGATCCACACGTGCAGATGAATCAGCTTTAATAGTTGGTCCTGCAGCCCAACATTCGGGACCGTCACGCTCCAATGCCTTAAGAGCTTAAACTGTGTAGACTCCAGCAAACGTACGAGTATAAACCGTGTTAACGCCGGTCAACGCGTTACAACTAAAGTCAACGCCGGACAACGTGTTATAGTGAAAGTCGATGCTGGTCAGCGCATCAGCAATCTCGCCAAAATAAGGCAAAAGATGACTCCAAGGATTTCAGTTACAACCAGATATGAATTCCCGACGGAGAGGATCAGTTCAAAGCCAACTCAATGGCACGAGCTAAGTTCAGAAAGTTACACACCAATCTCAGTTCAAGATTTCGACAGCGGTCAGACGATAAACGCAGCGCCAGAAGAACTTTACCTATTCAACGAAACAATGAATAGATTGAAGACTGAAGAAGTTAAGAATTGAGATAGTTCAAGGTCACTCTACGAAATTGAGGAGATGGCCTATCTTATCCAAAGCATTCCAGACTCCTCAATAAAAGAATGAGTCTGGAATACTTTGGAGGGGGTATCTGTAGGCGTCTAAAAATGCCTATAGGTATCCACACACAGCTCGAGACAGAGAGAAGACGACGAACATTGTTATCCGAGTCTAAGAGGATTATCTAACGCCGACAAGCGCCTGAAGCAAAACGGCGAATCAAGTGACCTGCGCGCTTGACAGTCAGCTCGCGCGCGCCAATCAGCTCGCATGCGTCAATCAACACGCACGCGTCAATCAACTCAAAGCATATAAATCAACGAAGCGAACCAAACACACGAAAGGACAAGTATCAAAGAAAGAGAACGGAAAAGAAAAAAAAAGCGGGTCGGTCATGGCCGACCCGCGGTGGCGCGGGTCGGCCAAGTCCGACCCGCGCTCGCGCGGGTCGGTTCCATCCGACCCGCGCAAGCGCGGGTCAGACTTGTCCTGCGCGCGCTGTTTCGATCGGGTTCGGTTTTTGATGATTTTTCTCGAGATTTGTTGGTTCCAGAGGTTCCCAACTGACTTGATATCATCTACAAACGTGGTTAGGCTGTTGTCAACTAAAGATAGAGCCAAATCACTTGTTCTCATCCAAATAACCGCATTCGAGGCCTATAAATATGAGTCAAAGGTCTCCATTTTTGGGGGGCGATTGATTATCAAGACGAGGAGGTGCTGCTGGATTGAGGAGTCAAGGAGCACGAATTTCAGCGAAGGCAAATCAGATCCTGGCGAACTTCGGCATAAAGAAGGAGCTATTCGAAGGATCTGAACCCCGTTCGTTCGTCCCTTGAGATTAGGCTTGGTCTTAATCTCGAGAAGAGCACTGATTTCGCTTGGTCGATCTCAGCGCTTCAAATCAAATACTTCCTCGGCGTAGACGAAACTCTGTCGAATTTTCCATCAACCGGATCCAGATCTAAGGCGGTCCACGGATAAACCCCGGCACAGGCAAAGATCCCACGCAAGCAGAAGATCGATAAACGATCTCCCTGTGTTTGTTTTGATAAAGTTGTAAACTTGTTTTATTTTTATTGTGTAAGGAGATCTTATAAAAAGATCAACTTTTTATTTTATTCGAGTTTATTGTAATGACTAAAGTTGTAATAGATTCGATAGCAATGAAAACAGCAATTTTCGACGCAAACAATAGGATTGTAAAAAAATCCAATAAATTTGCGATTATTACAAAGAACAATGTATTCATAGGAAAATGTTTTATTTATTATGGTCTTTTCAAACTCAATGTAATCAATTCTAGTTCTAATAAAATTTCTGAGTCTTCTGTTGCACAAATTGTTGAGTCTTGTGATGTTTAGCATGAACGACTTGGACATGTTAATTTTTAAACATTATAGAGAATGATTAAATTGAACATTATTCCTAAATCTTCTCATGATCCCTCATCTTAGTGTGAGATTTGTGTTCAAAGGAAACACACTAAAAAACCCTTCAAGTCTATAACTAGAAACTCCGAACACATTGAATTAATTTATAGTGATGTGTGTGATTCGAACCGAGTTCTCACCAGAGGGGGTAGGAGATATTTTATGACTTTTATAGACGATCACTCTAGATATTGTTACACATATCTTTTCAAAACTAAATATGAAGTTTTAAATATGTTTAAGGTATATAAAGCTAAATCTGAGAACCAACTTGACAGAAAGATCAAGATTCTAGGATCTGGTCGTGAAGGGGAGGAAGTATACCTCAAATAAAATGACTGAATATTACCTAGAATACGGTATTATTCATGAGGTAACTGCTCCCTATATGTCACAGTCTAACGGGATAGCTGAACGAAAGAACAAAACCCTAATGGACATGGTGAACTGTATATCACTTAGTTCATGAGCACCTAAAAATCTCTGGGGTGAAGCTCTTCTTCAGCCTGCTTCATTCTTAATAGAATTCCCCATAAACATTCTGATATAACTCCTTATGAATATCGGAAGGGGAGAACTCCTAGTCTAAACTTCTTCCTGGTTTAAGATTGCTTGGCTAAAGTAGCTATTTCTGAACCTAAAAAGAGGAAAATTGGTTCTAAGACTGTACATGTTGCTTTTATTAGATATGCACTAGATAGTAATGTTAACAGATTTTTAGTTATTAACTCTAAAATCAGTGACATATCCAATAATATTATTATTGAAGCAAGAGATACGGTCTACTTTGAAAACATCTTTCCTTTCAAATGCAAAATCTCAGAAAATCCTATATCATCTCTTCCTTCTGGTCAACCATCTTCTAGTTCTTCTTAGTCTCTTGATATTGAACCTCGAAGAAGTAAAAGAGGTGGAATTCAAAAGAATTTTGGAGAAGATTTTTTACCTTTCTTGTTAAAGGTGTATCAAACTCCTTTAAGGAAGCAATGAATTCACCTGAATCTCCTTTCTGGAAGGAAGTTATTGATAATAAAATCAAATCTATCATGAAAAATCATACTTGGATACTCAACAACTTACCTCGAGGTTATAAACATGTTGGTTGTAAGTGGATATTCAAGAAGAAACTTAGAGCTGATGGTTCCATTGATAAATATAAAGCTAGATTTGTAAGTGGATATTCAAGAAGAAACTTAGAGCTGATGGTTCCATTGATAAATATAAAGCTAGATTAGTAGCTAAAGGCTATACTAAGAAGAAACTTAGAGCTGATGGTTCCATTGATAAATATAAAGCTAGATTAGTAGCTAAAGGCTATACTTAGCAAAAGGGCATTGATTATTTTGATACATATTCTCCTGAAGCCCGAATATTAATTATCTGATTATTATTAACTTTTGCTGCTATCCATAAGCTGACCATACATCAGATGAATGTCAAGGCTGTTTTTCTGAATGGTGATTTAGATGAAGAAATATATATGCACCAACCTAAAAGCTTCATTGCTAAAGGTCAGAAAAATAAAGTCTGCAAACTTGTTAAATTTTTATATGGTCTTAAACAAGCTCCTAAACAATAGCACTAGAAATTTGGCAGAGTCATTGCACAATATGGACACTGTGAATGAACACGATAAGTGTGTCTATTCTAAAGTGATAAACAATGACTATGTCATCTTCTGTCTCTATGTTGATGATATCCTTATCTTTGGAACAACTCTTAAAGAAATCCTAAAGGTTAAGGATTATATCTCCAAGAACTTTGATATGAAAGACTTAGGTCTTGCCGACATGATACTTGGAATGAAAATCACTAGAGACACTAGAAGAATATCATTGAGTCTTTCTCATAGTATTGAGAAAATATTGATCAAATTCAATTTTCATAACTTTAAACCTATTTCTACACCTTATGACTCTTTTATATCTTTGAAGAAGAATGAAGGTGAACCTGTCTCCCAGCTGAAGTATTCTCAGCTGATTGGATCTCCCCTATACATATCCAACCGGACTAGACCCGATATAGCTTATGTTATAGGGAGACTGAGCCGGTATATCAGCAACCCTAGCAAAGATCATTGGATTACCTTAGAGAGAGTATTTAAATACTTAAAATGTACAGTTGACTATTGCTTGACTTATACTAGGTATCCTGATGCTATAGAAGGATATAGTAATGCTAACTGGTTCACGTATTCTAACAGTATAAAGTCTACATCTGGATATGTATTCTTTTTTTATGGTGCTGTCGTATCCTGAAAATCTTGTAAGCAAACAGTAATTGTCAGGAGCACCATGAAATATGAATTGATTGTACTTGATACCACTTGCATAGAAGCAGAATGATTAAAAGATCTACTTTCTGAACTTTTTTTTGGTCCCTAAACCCCCTCCTTTAATTTTCATTCACTCTGATTCTAGATCCACCATAGAGCTTCTAAAGCAAATGCATGTAAATAAAAAAAACTTAATAGACATATTCAAATAAGATATAAATATGTACAACGCATGCTAGTCAAAGTTGTGATTCTAGACTTTGTATAGTCTAAAAAGAATCTTGCAGACCCTTTGACTAAGGGTTTATCCAGGAGTGTGGTTCTGAATTCATCGAGGGAGATGGGGTTAAACCCATAAGTGAGGTCACTGACAGCGGGAATCCAACCTTTATTTGGAGACGCAGTCCCAATGTATGTTCAATATGGTAGGAACAAGCTGGACTAGTGACACTCGTGTGGAGCATCGACCTAGATATATTCATATATCATTATAGAAGCATTTGCTTCTTCCCCTTCTCTATGGTGACGATGCTCTTATGATACAGCTGGTTAGATTGAGTTTTACTCTTAATGAGTCCAACGCGTGTATTGCGGAGGGTATGATATCCAGCTGTAGTACTCTTGGAGGACTTACCTAAGTGAGAGGAACTGTGATGGCCACGATTAGTGGGGGCTGGGCTAACCCCTAGAAACTCTCATGAGTCGATTATTGTGAGCATGGCCTTTAACGCGCAACTCACTTTGCTCAATAGATGAAGACGTATTGTGTGTGTTTTCGTCAATATCTGATACAAGGGATCTAATTCAAGGCCTAGTCCATTATGTCCCTCAGATTGCAATGAACTCACTAAGAAAATGTTCAAGGCCGAAAGCTACATCTCCCGAATTCACGATACGAAAGGTTATCCAACCTATATTTGTTTTATGATTTATTGATTTATTTATTGATTTTTGTGTTTTCAATCAAATATTACCTTTTGAAGGGGACCGTTAGCTATATTGTGGGAGAAAAGACAAATTTGTCTTCATGAATAGTCTCACATGGACTAGTATCATGAATAGTAAAGGGTTTAAATTGGTTCACCTCTTATTGGGTTTTGAATAGTGTTTTGGGCTTTGTATTGCTTGGGCTTTACATAACACACGCACGCACGCCACGTCGCGACGCGCGCGTCGCGCCACGCCGCACGCGCACGCCTTTTGTTTTCCAAACCTTTATTTTACATGTTTTTCTTGGTAATTAAAACGTGCGTAACAGCTATATAATTATGGGGAACGTTACAAAAATTATGACGAATGTTACCGGTTTTTCTGCAACGGCTAAGGCTCTCAACCCCTATATAAACAACCCTTCTCATTCTCAGATGACACACAACATCGAAGGCTTTCTCTTCTATTCTTTCCTCTGTGATAAAACAAGAACTCTCTCTGTCTCACAAATTTTTGGCTATTATTTAATTTCTTTTCTGAGCAACCATTTTCATCTGAGCAGAAGTTCTGCCACTCTCGCCTGAGTACAAAGGCCAACCAATTCCGGAGGTTTTTACCGCTAGAGGAGAGAGGATCATCTGCGCCAGGACGATAGGCGGGTTCTTAATCTTCTAGGGTAGTGTTTACACGACTGCTCCCGATTAGGATAGCTTTTCTGATAACTTTTATTTTCGGATTTTATGCATGCTAATATAACTTTATTTTGATTCTTGTCTAACAAAATTTTTGTTTGAATTTGTGAATTTGGTCTTTGTTGTTGATGGGTTTTGTGTAATTTTTGTAGGCATAAGCCTGGTGACTGGATTGAGGCAGTCCGCCGGCTAAGAGTGGAGGATCATCATTTTCCGACGGTGACGACGTTGCTTTTGGTGGGGCCGAAAGGATCGGGGAAGAGCTCGCTGATTAATAGGATTTCTAGGGTTTTTGAGGAGGACAAGTTTGCGCCTGTTAGGGCACAAGTTTTTAGTGAGGCCAATTATCTCTGTTTTTTTCGCTTCAATTAGAATTAGTCTTTTAATTGATGTTTGTCATAGTTATTTATATTGACATAGAATCATCCTGTTTATTTTTCATGTATATAATCATCGATTATATACAACACGGTCTTTTTCGTTGTGTCATGTCATTGCCTTACATCAAAGTAATGATCGATGTGTGATGAGAAAGGCAATGCTTATTAAGAAAATCTATGAAGCACTCCTGTTGAAGATAAAAGGAGAGAAAATTGATCGGGATGCTTTGGTTATATACAATAAGCCACTAAACGCATTAGTTAGGAGAAGTGACAACATAACGGATGATATGACCCAAAGAATGTGACTCATATGTCCGAGCCCAAGACTTTGGGACAAAGGTTTTGTTGTTGTTTTCATTTATTCATGTAGCTGACGCTTTTACTCTCTATTTATTTGTTCATTTTAAATGAGAGAAAGCCTTTATTTTTGTTTAATTTTATCATTTATCGTGTTTATTTGGTGGTTCTCGGAAAATTTTCTTCAGATTTTGGCATGTAGCCATCTTTTTTATTTTGCATGTACATAAAATCACACTGCTCTTTTTACTAAAATACCTATAAACCACACGCTTCTTTATGGTTTCTATATGCGCAGCTGAAACCTGTCAGAATTGACACTGGACATGACATGGTTTCCATGTGTGACAATTTTAGGATGTGAAAGGATACAAATAATGGGGAGACAATTGCATTCATATCTGGTAGGTTATATATACACACACACACACCAAACGTTTCTGTTTCCATATCCTACCATACAAGTATTTAATATATGTATTGGTCAAACGTCCAAAATCATTTTAATTTTAGATTAGTTGGTTTCGAACCAATTTTAATATTTCAGATATCTAACTTTAGTTTTTTAGATATGTTGAAAATAGCGATTGAGTTTGATCTAAGAATTTTTGTTTTAACATTGAACAACTTCTTTATCACATGGACCACCATTTTTCAACTTTGTCCGGTTTTTCTTATTTTAGTTTTGTAGCCAATCCGTACCCGTTTTCACTTTTGGTGGATATTCATATTGATATCAATGATTAGTAAGCATATGTTAATATTGTAACTGGTAAGCAACATATCCCTACCCAAAACTTCTAGTTTTCATGTTTAACACTCAGATGGACAGTCACTCATTGGGTCTATGAAATTTTAAGTATAAACTCATTAATGATTTATACTATTTTATCAAGGGGATAACATTTCCCCCTCCTAATCTATATGTTTCATTGAGAAATAATGACTATGCAAACCATTTCTTTTACTGCTCCAAAAGAAGAGTAAATTTTGTTCTGTCAGGGAACATTACGATTTTCCCGAAGAGTTTCTCCCTTTTGTCAGATTTTATTCCACAGAAATAAGACACTTGATTTGTTCCTCTCCATGGAAACATTTAAGATTTTGAAGTGGGGGCATGCTCTTTGTGTTTGCTAATGGATTTTTCATCCATTTGATTTTCTAAACAGGATTGCTGGAAGTTCTATGGAGAATGGTCTCTGTATTTATTCAGTTTTGTTAAATCTTTTTTGATTACATTTAACGGATGCTTGGTGCAGATAATTCATCGGTAAACAATGGATCCTGCTTCCTACAGGGGTACATGATTCCAAGGAGCTCCAAGTCCCTTTGTCTTTATGACAGCCGTGGTTTGTCGATAAGCAAATCTGATAACTTGGCAATTCTAAAACATTGGATGACTGAAGGCGTCTCTCATGGAGAAATGGTCATTAGGTGAGACTATAATTTTCATGCTCTTTCCTTATATTTTTGTTGTTTATTGAAGAATGGTATTCTCATAGCCATGGGGTTTCTGTCATGGAACAATGTATGATTTGGTCATGACGCTTGTTAGTTTTAAAATTTTGGGTAGTGATAACAATGACACATACAAGTACACACATGTATCATTTTGAATTTTGATGAATGTGTCTAATCATTTTTGGTGCTTGTTAATGTGTTCTAGTAGTTAATGCTTATTTTTCATATTTGACTGGGGAAATAAATATATGATTTACGTATTTCTAAATTATGACTATTTATTACTGTATTCCTTGTGTCATATCCTAGCTTCTCAAGCTTCTTGTGTATATGTCTGTAATCTGTATCATGACAATGTATGTGTACCTGTGAAATCTAGAAGATATTTCTAATAGATTGGAGTGGCAGTTTGGACTAATCTTTAATTAGGATATCATGAGCATGATCTCGACTTGGGATATTTTTCTCATAAGGATTTTAGTTTGTTGTTTTTCCTATGGGATCATTCTAAAAAGAGACTGTAACATCATCTCGGAAAGCCACAGTGTCTAGATGCATCCTTGTATACCTGAAAGCCTTTTTCTTTGCAATTTCTACATTGTTACCTTTAACCTTCAGTAGTTAAATTGGTTTTGTGCTTTATAAATTAACTAATAGTGCGCATACGTTTGTTTTCTGCTAACAGGAATTCGGATACCACTGTTATGAAGGAAAAAATAAAAACCTTGGAACGACAGTATACACTTTTTCCTTGCAGGAGGAGGTCTGTTAATTTTGTTATATATGTTGTTGATGGAGTCTCTGTTCTGAAATCAATGAAAGAAGAGGAGTCAGAATACCGTGAAATGATCATTGAAAGCTTCAACTGTCCATATTTGTCATTTAAAGGTATGTCTGTTTTTCATTCTTTCTTGCATTTCCTTAAGTTCATGTGCACGCTACACAAATTGATATATTCATTGTTTTTCTACCTTAAGTTTTCTCTTATCTTGATATTTAAATCTTCATGCTTTCTTAAACTCCAGTAAGTTATACATGAAAACAACCTACGAGCGCTAATGCTTTGATGACACTGTGTTCTAAATGAAAGTATTTAATTTGTTGAGGCTATATATATTTTATATATTTGGAGATTTCTTCTTTTTCTTTACTTTTCATTTTCAGACGGGAACATCCATTGATTGGTGTAACTCATGCTGGAGGTCCCATCTTTCTCTCTTTTTATTGTCATTAGAGAAATATTATCACCTGCATTCTGTTGTAAGCTGGAAAATCTTTCACTACAGGGATAAATAAATGTGGAGGTTGTTATGGGTCTCCACTTTTTGGCAAAATCCAGATATATGCATAAAACATGGCTAATTACAGAAAATAGTATATGAAGTAGTAAACTGTATGTTTATAATTGTGAAGAGCACGTGAACAGGTCCCACGTGAGTGCATGAGTGCTTGAGGTTTTTTCGTTTTGTTTACTGGACAATAACCGGCCCACCCGTTTGTCCCTTGTGCATATATATAGACCTGGTTAATGACCTAGGTTTGTGAGCAAGGAGTCCTTTTGATTGGCGGCTGCAAAAGCAATTGAGGGTGCTGTGCAATTGAAAGGTGCGAAGGAGGTGTTAATTTTTGCGGCTACGGAGAAATAAAGCAGAAAGTTGTTTTCTTTCTTGGTGGCTACAGGGTACGGATGCACAGGCCAAAGTGGAATTTTGATAAGACTTTTGTTAAGGTTTTGTGCATCCTTTTGTAGAGAGATAGTGTGAGGGATTTGAGAGTTTGTTTGAGGGTTTAGTTTGTGAGTGATTGTAAACCCTAGCTGTATTCTCTCCCTCTATTAGTAGATCTCCTCCCTCCTTGCCCCGTGGACGTAGGCAATTTGCCGAACCACGTTAAAATTGGTTGTACTGCTTTTGTGTGATTTGTAATAGCTTTTAGGGTCCCTCGACGCGCAGTACTAGAGCTGACGAGAGGAAGAGCTAATATCCTACTTTGATAGGATATAGGCTTCAGATTCTTGTTCCCTTTGAGAAACAAGAATTCTTATTGCGACCTGACTCTCTTGTTGTGCTGCCAAAGTGCTGCCGAAATTTCCGCTGTGCGCAACGGTATTACTATTAGAAGGACTATTGGAAGGACAAATATGTTATGAGAACAATTTAAAAAAACAACAAAGTGGTTTGAGTCTAGTCTACCTACCATTCTCTTTTTCATTAAGGATGTAATTAAAGTTGTTATATGAACTATATAAATGGGAGCTATATATCAATGTAGTCATCTACTTATTTGAGACGTGTAAAGCTCATTGCCTTGTAGAAAAGTGAGAGACAGAAAAAATCACGTCAAAGGTGCAGCCTACAAATTTTGAACTCTTTGAAAAAAGGCCATACTCATGCCTTTGAACACCCACGATCTAGAATGTGAATTTTGTTGAAGTGGTTTAAAAAAAGGAGTGGAAAGGTAGCAAACATGATGTTTAGGGATGTACATGGGTGCTAACAATGTGATCCCAATCTGTTTTTATTTTAAGATATTCTTACATAGTTAATAGTGTTAAAATATAATTAGGAGGTTTGTGGATGAGCGACGTACAGGATGCGCTCAATGCTCAGAATTTGGAAGAGACCATCATGGTCCACGAGAAGCCACATAAATATGAAGAGGCGATATGGGAGAAAATGAATAGGAACGCGTGTGGGGTGATCAGATCCTGTTTGGAACAGGAGCTGAAATATGATGTGATTGGGGTAACGTCTGCAATGAAGATGTGGGAAATTCTCAACAACAAGTATCTCACAAAGAGTGTTGAGAACCGGTTGCACTTGCTGCGTAGGTTATTCAGATTCCAGATGTCCAGAGGCACCTCGCTTGCGGCTCATGTGAACAACTACACTAAGTTGTTGTCGGACTTGGCGAATGTTGATGAGAAGATATCGGATGAGTACAAGGCGATTATTTTGTTGGGCTCCTTACCGGATGAGGAGTATGATACCTTCGTGCTCACTTTGTTGAACGGGAGATTGCTGCCGAAATTTCCGCTGCGCGCAACAAGTGGTATCAGAGCCCAGCTTTCAGATCTAGGGTTTTTTGGTGGAGGAAGATTCTTGTGTGAAGCTTAGTTCTTGGAGTTCTCGGCTTCGGTGGAGATAACATTAGGAGTTTCAGTTGGAGATTTCGCTTTCCTCGTGTGGATAGGAGATCTATTTGGAATCCGATCTAGGGTTCAGTTGGGTGGTTCCTAATTCTATCAAATTTGTTCTTTCTCTACAATTTGGAGTTAGTTCGCAATGGGAGAAGAAGGTGAAAGCAGCAAATCGATGGCGAGTACAATACAAGTTGGTTTTCAGAACACCAAAATTAGTGTGGTGAAATATGACGGAAAAATCAACTTTGGTTTGTGGATGAGCGACGTACAGGATGCGCTCAATGCTCAGAATTTGGAAGAGACCATCATGGTCCACGAGAGGCCACCTAAATATGAAGAGGCGGTATGGGAGAAAATGAATAGGAACGCTTGTGGGGTGATCAGGTCCTGTTTGGAACAGGAACTGAAATATGATGTGATTGGGGTGACGTCTGCAATGAAGATGTGGGAAATTCTCAACAATAAGTACCTTACGAAGAGTGTTGAGAACCGATTGCACTTGCTGCGTAGGTTATTCAGATTCCAGATGTCCAGAGGCACCTCGCTTGCGGCTCATGTGAACAACTATACGAAGTTGTTGTCGGACTTGGCGAATGTTGATGAGAAGATATCGGATGAGTACAAGGCGATTATTTTGTTGGGCTCCTTACCGGATGAGGAGTATGATACCTTCGTGCTCACTTTGTTGAACGGGAGATCTTCGATCAGCTATAGTGAAGTGACTAACGCATTGACCAACTATGATTTGAGGAGGAAGGACAAGGAGACTTCCCGCGCTAGTACTTCAGGAGAGGCCTTGTCGACGAGAGGTAGAAGCCCATATCCGAAAGGTGGTAATAGAGGAAGGTCAAAGTCTAGAGGCCGCCACCAATTAACAAAGAACCAATGTGCATTCTGCAAGGAGCAGGGACATTGGAAGAGAGACTGCCCGAAGCTCAAGGAGAAAGAGAATGGCAAGAAAAAGGGCCCGAAGGCCAATGAGGTGAATATTACGAAAGAGGATGATTCCGATGATTCGTGCTTTTCTCTACTGATTACTCCGGAGGTGAACCATGTGGATGCATCAGATTGGATGCTTGATTCCGGCGCTACCTTTCATGTGACCCCTAGGCGAGACTGGTTTGCATCTTTTGAGAAAGTCGACGGGGGCGTTGTTGTCATGGGAAATGATCAATCCTGTGGCGTTTGTGGGATAGGTACCGTGCGGATTAGGATGCACGATGGAGTAGTCCGTGAGTTGAAGGAGGTGAGATTTGTTCCTCAACTGAAGAAAAATCTTATCTCAGTTGGAGCTTTGGAGGCGAAGGGATTCAAGGTGACTTTCGAAAACGCTGTAGCGAAGGTTACTAAGGGATCATTGGTGGTGATGAGGGGAGTCCGCAATCGGAATTTGTATTATCTGAAGGGAAGCACCGAGATTGGCCAGGTTGCTTCGGCTATTTCAGAAGCGGACATGAGCAGACTTTGGCACTATAGGTTGGGGCACACAGGTGAAAAGTCACTGCAGGCATTGTGCAAGCAGGGGCTATTGAAGGGAGCCAAGAGTGGGAAGATTGAGTTCTGTGAGCACTGTGTTCTTGGCAAGAAGACGAAGGTGAAGTTCGGGACTGCCATTCATCAGACGAGGGGCATCCTGGATTACGTGCACACAGACGTTTGGGGTCCCACCAAGACTGCATCACTTGGTGGTCGACATTGGTTCGTCACTTTTGTAGATGACTATTCTAGGCGTTGTTGGGTGTACACCATGACGAAGAAGAGTGAAGTCCTAGATTTGTTTGTGGAGTGGAAGAAGAGATTGGAACTGCAGACTGGGAGAAAGATCAAGACGTTGCGATCCGACAACGGTGGTGAGTATACTTCTGACCCCTTTCAGCAGCTATGTCGAGACGAGGGCATAGAGAGACACTTCACAGTTAGTCATACACCGCAGCAAAATGGGGTGGCAGAGAGGTTGAATCGGTCTTTACTGGAGAAGATCCGATGCTTATTGTCGCAGAGTGGTTTGGAGAAGATCTTTTGGGCTGAGGCACTTACATATGCGAGCCACCTCATTAATAGGCTGCCTTCATCTGCGATTGAGGGGAAAACCCCTATGGAGATGTGGTCGGGAAAGCCAGCACATGACTATGACCAGCTCAAGGTATTCGGGTGCCCTGCATATTATCATGTTAGAACTGATAAATTGGAACCTCGAGCTAGGAAGGCCATATTTGTAGGATTCAAGCGTGGTGTCAAGGGATACAAGCTTTGGGATCCAGTTGATAAAAAGATTGTTCTGAGTAGGGACGTCACATTTGATGAGGCTTCTATCTTGAAGCTTCCCAGCTCTCATCAGGTGGAGAGCGACCCGACGGAGGAGATATCGCAGGTGGTGGAGATCGATGCAGCTCCACATTGTCCAGATGGTACAGTATCCATGCAGGTGCCGACTGAGGTGACGCCAGGCGAGCACGACGATGACACGGAGGATACGAGTACAAATGTGCAGGATCAGGAACCGACGGCTCAGGTTCAGGATTCTATTGCGGCTAGGAGACAGAGGAGAAACATACAGATGCCAGCACGGTATGCCGACACAGTTGCGTATGCACTTCCGGTGGAGAGTATCGATGAGTTAGTGCCTACTACATTCAGAGAGGCCGAGCAGAGTTCGGAGGCTGATTCGTGGCAGGTGGCTATGCAGGAGGAGATGGAATCTCTTCATAAGAACGATACATGGGAGCTTGTTGAGCTTCCAAAGGGGCGGAAAGCAATTGGTTGCAAGTGGGTATACACGAAGAAGGAGGGCATTGAAGGCACTCCGTTGAGATTCAAGGCTAGGTTGGTTGCGAAGGGCTATGCACAGGAGGAAGGTATTGACTATAATGAGGTTTTCTCTCCGGTGGTGAAGCATTCTTCGATTCGGATTTTGCTAGCTTTGGTGGCACAGTATGGTTTGGAATTAGATCAGTTGGATGTGAAAACGGCATTTCTTCATGGTGATCTTGATGAAGAAATATATATGACTCAGCCATTGGGATTCCGAGCTGCAGGGAAAGAAAAATTAGTTTGCAAACTGAAGAAATCGCTATACGGTTTGAAGCAGTCTCCTCGACAGTGGTATAGGCGATTCGATGGTTTTATGCTTGGTCATTCGTACACTCGGAGCCAGTTTGATCCTTGCGTATATTTTCGCAAGTTGAAAGGAGGTGCGTATATTTATTTGTTGCTCTATGTCGATGACATGTTGGTTGCCTCTATTTCCAGGTCGGCTATAGATGAGTTGAAAGTTCAGCTTTCAAATGAGTTTGAGATGAAGGAATTGGGCGAGGCGAAGCGCATTTTAGGGATGGAGATCGGCAGAGACAAGAAAAATGGCAGAATTTGTTTGACACAGGTGGCTTATTTGAAGAAAGTTCTACAGCGATTCCATGTTAGCATGGATACGAAGCCAGTTAGTGTACCATTGGGAGCCCATTTGAAGCTTTCAGCTGGTCTCTCACCGAAGTCAGTTGAAGATCGTGAGTTGATGTCGAAGACTCCATATGCGAGCGCGGTTGGGAGCTTGATGTACGCGATGGTATGTACGAGGCCAGATTTGTCACAGGCAGTAAGCATGGTATCGAGATACATGCACGATCCAGGAGTGGGTCATTGGGACACCATGAAATGGATTTTGAGGTACATTCGAGGTACGCTCAATGTTGGTTTGGTTTATGAGCGGGACACTAAAGGTGGGCAGTTATGCATTGGTTATGTTGATTCGGATTATGCTGGGGATTTGGATAAGCGCCGGTCTACGACGGGGTATGTGTTCACCTTGACCCGTGCGCCGGTGTGTTGGAGATGCACCTTACAGTCGACGGTGGCTTTGTCTACGACGGAGGCAGAGTATATGGCAGTTACGGAGGCTGTGAAGGAGGCTATTTGGCTTCGAGGACTTTTGGAGGAACTTGGTATATCGCAGAAGTCCGTCACTATTCATTGTGATAGCATGAGTGCTATCTATTTGGCGAAGAATCAGGTTTTTCATGCGCGGACGAAGCACATTGATGTTCGTTATCACTTCGTTCGAGATGTTCTTGAAGATGGAGATGTGGAAATTGTGAAAGTCCACACGAAGGATAATCCGGCAGATATGCTCACAAAGGTGGTTCCGAGCAACAAGTTTACTCATTGTCGAAACTTGTTGTACATTCGTGATTGTTGAGGCCGTTGGCGGCCATTTGGATGAACTACGTTCGGCTTGATTCCTTGGGCAAGAGGATACGTAGGCAGTCTTTAAGATGCAGCCGATTTGGATTAGTTGATTTTGATGGGGGTGAGATTGTTTGAGCTCTCGTTCGGGTTCCCGACTTGTTGTCGAATGAGTGGGACATTTGCTTGCTTTGGTGTCAGCTCAGTTTTGGAAAAACTTCACCGAGGTGGAGAATTATGAAGAGCACGTGAACAGGTCCCACGTGAGTGCATGAGTGCTTGAGGTTTTTTCGTTTTGTTTACTGGACAATAACCGGCCCACACGTTTGTCCCTTGTGCATATATATAGACCTGGTTAATGACCTAGGTTTGTGAGCAAGGAGTCCTTTTGATTGGCGGCTGCAAAAGCAATTGAGGGTGCTGTGCAATTGAAAGGTGCGAAGGAGGTGTTAATTTTTGCGGCTACGGAGAAATAAAGCAGAAAGTTGTTTTCTTTCTTGGTGGCTACAGGGTACGGATGCACAGGCCAAAGTGGAATTTTGATAAGACTTTTGTTAAGGTTTTGTGCATCCTTTTGTAGAGAGATAGTGTGAGGGATTTGAGAGTTTGTTTGAGGGTTTAGTTTGTGAGTGATTGTAAACCCTAGTTGTATTCTCTCCCTCTATTAGTAGATCTCCCCCCTCCTTGCCCCGTGGACGTAGGCAATTTGCCGAACCACGTTAAAATTGGTTGTACTGCTTTTGTGTGATTTGTAATAGCTTTTAGGGTCCCTCGACGCGCAGTCCTAGAGCTGACGAGAGGAAGAGCTAATATCCTACTTTGATAGGATATAGGCTTCAGATTCTTGTTCCCTTTGAGAAACAAGAATTCTTATTGCGACCTGACTCTCTTGTTGTGCTGTCGAAGTGCTGCCGAAATTTCCGCTGCGCGCAACAATAATGTCCATTTCTTCGTATATACTGTTGCTTTAAGATGTTTCACATCAATTGCTATGCTGTTTCTTGTGAGAGTAACGGGATATATTGTTCGTTAAGTTGACTATAAATTCCTCCATCATTTATTTGCAGATGACAAACCAGCTGTTGTGGTCACTCACGGTGATGAACTCTCTTTCCATGAGCGTGCCCAAGTACGTACTTATTTGGGAGATATTTTGGGTATTCCACCCTCTGAACAAATTTTTGATATCCCAGGTGATGCTTTCTTAAAATTACGTTAGGGGTGCTTGATATCCATTAATTATATATTGTTGTTTAGATTAAAATCATCCTTCATGCAGATTCAAGTGACTACAACACGGAACTAGCTACGGTTGACATGTTACGTTACTCTATCGAGCATGCAGATAGAAACCTTCGCTGTAACCCGCCTTCCATGGCTAAGGTTAGATTTCTTTTCCCTGCTTCTCCTCTCTCCATAATCTTTTGGCATTATAGAATGACTGGTGATGTCCTATATTTTGCGTAAAATTGACTGTCTCTAGATATAAAAATTCAATTTATATGATAGAAACAGGGCCATGAGCAATGCAGCAGACGTGTATACAAAGCATATGGTTCATGTAACGATGCTTGGCATATTCCTTAGTAATAATATTATTGTATTTTTATTAATAATGTTATTATTTTAGATAGATATTTTTATCGATATGTCAGGTAGGTTCCATCTCTGTGAGAGTTGAATCTGGGCAAGTTAATTCCTCTGATCTCATCTTTCCCACTGTTCCAAGGTCCTCTTCTGGACCTTCTCTTGAATCTAGAAATTAATGAAGTTTGCAATTTAATACCCAATTGTAACCAACGTTTACACCTAGCCATAGCACTGTATGTGTACATGTCAATGAGGATAAAGCTGGGTTTTTATTAGTAAGGTTAGTGTATTTAAATTCTTTAAGATCGAAACACGCACGCAATCAATTCAGCTTCTAACTGGCTTAATATTTACATAAAAAACATATGATGCAATATACATGAATTTTTAGGGTGCCTGCCACATGGGGTTGAGACTATTCTTCCCTGTAATCTTCCCTTTTGTCAAGCATTAAGGGATTCTCTTGGCTCAAGACTTGAGCAAATCATAGAATATCACCTGTTTAAGAACATAAATGTCATATCATACTGCAACATGTATAGAGTACTGTATGAAAAAATTTATCAACAAAATTCAATATCATCAAGCATTACGTGTTTGCTCAGATGTTCAGTGGTTAAAATCGTTTAGTAGTTTCTCTTAGATATGGAAGTTGCCAGCTATCGATTCTTACAGACTTTGATTGTCTTGTAGCTAAAAAGAAAACTAGTTAAAAAGAACATATAATGTCTGACTACATGAATTATAAAATCTAAACTTTCTGTAGAAAATTACAATATCCGGCATCATGATTGCAGGACATTTCATTGCCTCATACTGTCAAGAATGGCTTTTAGAAAACTTGATTACCGTTTATAAGAATCAGCCATGATTTCTTTTTGTTAAAGTAAAATTTTCCTTAAGTTGAATATTGAGTGTGCACATATATTTATACAAGTAGAGGAGGGTGGGGTGTGTTCTCACAAGCAATGTGGGACTAAAACCCACTACAATATACTATTATCAACACTTTTATTTATTTGGTGATTTTTTTTGGACGCATATCCATGAATCCGTATTCATCTTAATAATTCATATACTCCTAGTGCATCCTCTCAGGATACCCCTAATTCAAATTTTGTTCCCCGCTCAATTTATCTTCAGATGATCATTAGCTGGATAGCATATGTTTAATCCATGTTCTAGGATGCATAGTAAAAAATGATGACCAGTTGAGATCAGTGGCGGAGCCACACAAAAATATATATCCCTCCTTGAGAGAGAGTGCAGGGAGGGATCTGAAGAAATTACAGAAACTCAGAAGAATCAGGCAAACCAGGCGGCGGTCGACCGGTCCGGTCGACCGCATTCGTGCACAAAGCTTACTGTGCGACAGAAAGGAGGTCGGTCGACCGGGCCAGTCGACCGCAGGTGTTTCGGTCGACCGGTGCGGTCGACCGAGGGGTCCGGTCGACCGACGCTGTTTTGGGCTGGGCTTTCAGGTTTTCGACCCGATTCGTTTTGTAAGTTCTATATATACCTAAACCTGTTTGTTTAGGGTAGAGGTTGGACGAATTTGAGCAGCCAAAGAGAGAGAATCATTGCATCCAATTGTGAGAGAGCTTTGAGAGATCTAGAGCTTTGTTTTAGGGTTTGGTCTGAGAGATTTGTAACCCTATTTGTATTCTCTTGATTTCTAGTAGAAAGAACTCCCCCCTCCTTGCCCCGTGGACGTAGGCAACTTGCCGAACCACGTAAATTGTGTGTTCTTGCTGTGATTGTGGTTTGCATATTGTTTGTGGTTTAGTTCGAGTTATTGTTCGTGTTGCCCTAGAAAGCTTCCGCCGCGCACAACAATTGGTATCAGAGCTAGATCGACAACATGGGAGATGCAAGCACGTCAGGTTCGTCTCTAACAAAGGCGATACAGAGTCTGAGCATCAATAACACGAAGATTGATGTTCCGAAGTTCGATGGCAAGATCAATTTTGGATTGTGGAGGTGTCAGGTGATGGATGCTTTGGATGCACAGAATTTGGAGGAGACTCTTGAGTTAAAAGAGAAACCCGCTGAGTTGGAGGATAAGGTTTGGAGAAAGATGAACAGTAGAGCTTGTGGTGTTATTAGGTCATGCTTGACGCCGGATCTTATTTATGATGTTATGAACGAGACGTCGGCGAAGAAGATGTGGGAAACACTCAATGAGAAATATCTTACGAAGAGCATTGAGAATCGGCTTCACTTGAAGAAGAGATTTTACCAGTTCAAGATGAAGAGAGGGGTTTCCATCAGGGAGCATGTCAACAATTTCACTAAGCTACTTTCAGATATGGCCAATGTTGATATTATAGTTGAGGATGAAGACAAGGCGATGCTACTTCTGTGTTCGTTGCCCGAAGATGATTATGGTACGTTCGTTCTCACTATGATCAATGGAAGAACTACAGTTAGCTACAAGGAGGTGACCTCAGCTTTGGTGAACTATGAGTTGAGGAAGAGTGATGGTGAACCCTCCGAGAAGGCATCGGGAGATGCGTTAGCAGTTCGAGGCCGAGATCCAAACCGTCGTCAGTTCAACCGCTCAAAGTCAAAGAATAGGAGTGCCTATAAGAGTGTTGGTAGAAATCAATGTCGGTATTGTAAAGAAGAAGGACATTGGAAGATTGACTGCCCAAAGTGGAAAGAAAAAGCCGGAAAGAATAAGGGGAAAGCTGCACAAGCTTCAGAAGTGAATGTTGCAAAAGCTATTGGTGAGCATTCAGATTCAGATTCTTCAGGTTATTCATGCCCTGCTTTACCGTCGGTTTGCTATGCGGATTCCACTGAGTGGATGATGGATTCGGGAGCTACATATCACATCTGCCCAAAGAGGGAGTGGTTCTCTAGCTTTGAGGAGCTGGAAAGAGGGGATGTCGTGCTTATGGGTAATGATCACGTATGCCCTATTGGTGGTATTGGTTCAGTCCGGATCAGGATGCATGATGGTGTAGTGAGGGAATTGAAGGAAGTGAGGTTCGTGCCGCAGTTGACATCATTTCTCTTGGGACTTTGGAGGCAGCAGGATATCGAGTGATCTTAGAGGACGCTACAGTGAAGGTCACGAAGGGTTCTATAGTGGTGATGCGAGGTGTCAGGGAAAACTACCTATACTACTTGAAGGGCAAGACAGTTACAGGGGGTCTGGCAGCTTCTATCACTACAGAGGAGGACACTACCACCTTATGGCACATGAGACTTGGACACACAGGAGATAAGTCCCTACAGTCATTGGCTAAACAGGGACTATTGAAAGGTGCTAAGACTTGCAAGATGGAATTGTGTGAGCATTGTGTACTTGGGAAGAAGACTAGAGTGAAGTTCGGCACCGCTGTTCATAACACCCAAGGTACATTGGATTATATTCACACGGACGTTTGGGGTCCTTCCAAGAACACATCTCTTGGTGGGGCCAACTATTTTGTCACTTTCATTGATGATTATTCCAGGAGGAATTGGGTATACCCGATGAAGCATAAACATCAGGTCCTGGATATTTTGTGGAGTGGAAGAAGAAAGTGGAGCTGCAGACAGGTAGAAAGGTGAAGACTCTTCGTTCAGATAACGGTAGAGAGTACAAGAGTGATCTGTTTCTGCAGTTCTGCAGGATCACGGTATTAGAAGACACTTCACAATTCGAGAGACACCGCAACAGAACGGGGTGGCTGAGAGATTGAACCGTACCTTGCTGGAGAAGGTGCGGTGTATGATGACGCAGAGTGGATTGCCTAGATCCTTTTGGGCCGAGGCGTTAGTTTATGCAAGCCATCTCGTGAACAGGTTGCCGTGCACTTCGATAGACGGGAAAACTCCTTTGGAGCGTTGGTTTGGTTCAGTGGCTAGTGACTATGAGTCGCTTCGGATATTCGGGTGTCCAGCTTATTATCATGTCAGTGATGGTAAATTAAATCCGAGAGCGAGAAAAGCAGTCTTTGTGGGATTTAGAGATGGAGTCAAAGGCTTCAAGTTATGGGATCCACAGGACAAGAAGATAGTTATTAGCAGAGATGTCACATTTGACGAGGCGTACATGATGAGGCCTCGAGCCCCTCAGCAGGTGGAGGGAGACCAGACAGGAGAGATATCGCAGCAGGTGGAGGATGATGTGACTCCACCCACTCCAGAGAATACTGTATCAGGCTACAATTTGAAGACTTTCACGTAGATCGCTGAAGGTTACAATCTGACGACCTTCACGACAACCGATGAGAGCTCTAGTTCAACAGCATTCACAATCAATATCGGGAGTTACAATCTGACGACTCTCACATTCTCAAGAAGCCAAGACGAAGATTACAAGACAATGATCTTTACAACGCTATGACAAAAGAGATTACTTTGTGATAATCTCTTCAAGACAAGACGCGGAGGTCCTCCCAGTGTGCCAACATCAAAACGCCGGGGTCGTCCCCGTGTGTCAACAGTAAAACGCCAGGGTCGAACCCGCGTTACAACATCAAAACGCCAGGGTCGAACCCGCGTTACAACATCAAAACGCGAGGGTCAAAACGCTGGAGTCGGACCCGCGTTACAACAAGCTAAACGTGAGCGACCCTCGCGTTCCTAGGGGTCCATCCAACACCGACCCCCCGTTTCTAAGCTACAACAAACCAAAACTCGAGCGACCCTCGCGTTCATCAATGTTCAGCCAACACCCAACTTCGCGTCTCAATTCTAAGAGGCGAAGTTGGGTTCTGAACGCCAGATTGGGCGTTTTGACTTGTTCAAACACAAGCCGAACGGCCTCAAAACCGTTATCCCACGTTCTGAGGAATTGTCACCCACTCTGGCTTTTTGGAGCTAAGAATTGACAGCAACAGGAGAGATCCTTGGGCGAGCTTTTGAGGGGATCGGCATCATCCTCCAACGAAGATTATCTTCAACTTCGACAACAGAGAGCTTTGATCCTTGGCTTATCAACCGAACTTTCGGTTCAAATCAACTCTTTTTCAAGAGTTAAAACTCGTTCAGAGTTATCAACTCGTTCAGAGTTCTAAAACTTGCCACGCAAGTTCCCCACAACGTCAAATCGTGAGGAGAAGACATCTTTCCAGTAAATCAAGACGTGTGGATCGTCAACGGAGAGCAAACTCGACGCGAGCATTCGAGGGAGGCACTCCATCGCTACCGTGAAGAACCCAGTTTTAAACAAAGAGGAAGAACCAATTTTGTTCTCCTCTCTTTTGTAATCAAATTGTAATCAGAATCAAAGGAATACAAGTCAATTTTCTTTATTCTTTTCATTGCAATTTTCCGAGGATGATGTGACTCCACCCACTCCAGAGAGCACTGTATCTATTGAGGCTCCTACAGAGGTGACACTGGGAGGAGATGAGATGACAACCGGGCAGATACAAGATACAGTGGATCATGGGACTCATGAACAGGATCATGTTCAGAGGTCCATTGCAGCAGATAGACCGAGGAGAGAGATTCGTCGGCCAGCTAGGTATAATGATGTCATGGTCGCATATGCATTATCAGTGGAGGTCGTTGACGATATGGTTCCAGCCACATTCAGGGAGGCAGAGTCTAGCCCCGATTCGATCAGGTGGAGGGAAGCTATGGAAGAGGAGATGCGGTCTCTTCAGAAGAACGACACTTGGGCACTTGCACAACTACCTAAGGGTAAGAAAGCTATTGGTTGTAAGTGGGTATATGCGAAGAAGGAGGGATCTTCTATTGGGGACATTCGGTTCAAAGCCAGATTGGTTGCCAAGGGATATGCATAGCTTGAGGGTATTGATTACAATGAGGTATTTTCACCCGTTGTGAAGCATTCGTCGATTCGGATATTATTGGCGTTGGTGGCACAATTGGATTTGGATTTGGTCCAGATGGATGTGAAGACAGCCTTTCTATACGGAGATTTAGATGAGGAGATCTACATGACACAACCCCAGGGTTTCAAAGCTGCAGGAAAAAAAGATTTGGTTTGTAAGCTGAAGAAGTCTCTTTATGGTTTGAAGCAGTCACCAAGACAGTGGTATAAGAGATTCGACGGCTTTATGATTGGCCGAGGGTACACGAGGAGCCCATATGACCCATGTGTTTATATGCACAAGCTACAGGATGGTGAGCTCATATATTTGCTTTTATATGTTGATGATATGCTTATTGCTTCCAGGAATTCTTCAGCTATTCGAAAGCTGAAAGAGGAGTTATCATCCGAGTTTGAGATGAAGGATCTTGGAGAGGCAAAGAAGATATTGGGTATGGAGATCGAGCGAGACAGGGTGAAGGGGAAATTGAAGCTTACACAGAAGAGCTACTTGCAGAAGATGTTGAAGAAATTCAGCTTTGATGGCAATGCAAAAGCAGTTAGCACACCATTGGCTCCCCACTTCAAGCTTTCAGCGTTGATGTCACCTGTTTCAGTTGAGGACAGAGATTATATGTCGAAGGTCCCATATGCTAGTGCAGTAGGTAGCTTGATGTATGCGATGGTGTGTACGAGGCCAGATTTGTCACAGGCCGTGAGCATGGTATCGAGATACATGCATGACCCCGGGAAGGGTCACTGGGAGGCCGTGAAGTGGATTCTACGGTATGTTCGAGGCACCGTGGATGTTGGTTTAGTATTTCAGAAGGATGAGAAGGATGGGCAGGCTTGTATTGGATATGTGGATTCAGACTATGCTGGAGATCTTGACAAACGCCGGTCTACGTCAGGTTATGCTTTTACATTGGCAGGTGCACCTGTATGTTGGCGTTGCACGCTTCAGTCCACAGTGGCTCTCTCTACTACAAAGGCAGAGTATATGGCGGTTACTGAAGCAATTAAGGAGGCTTTATGGTTGCGTGGATTCACTACAACAAAACTGCTTTTTTATAGCGTTGAATGATAGCGTTTATGTTGTAAATGCTATAGATCATATGTGTCTTATTTTTTAATAGCGTTTGAAAATTTTTAAACGCTATAAGTAACAGTAGGCAATTTTTTTTGTGCGCTGCGTTGAAAACTTAAGCGGGAGACTGAAAATCGCAACAGGCCACCCTCAAAATTTCATTCTTCTCCTCCCCCCAAATTTCATTGGTCCCGCCCTGAGAAAAAACCCTAACCCCAAAAATTTCTGCTGCGCTCCCTCCGACGTCCCAGTCTCCCTCTCTCCTCTATCTCTCCTCTCAGATCTCTCTCTCCGAGATCGACCCCACGGGATCCAGACTTTGCGGCCCCTCTCGATGTACTTCATGGCGACGAGCTCATTGGTCTCCGTGTTCCTCATCAGCCTCGCCACCCCAAAGTTCCCTGATCCGATGTCCCTCATCCTGTAATCGAGCTCTAGCAGATCATCATCATGTCTGCGCTGGGCGCAGCGCTCGCTCGAGGCCAGCACGGCTCAGCGCAGTCTCCTCGTCTCACCAAATTCTCCCTTCAAGCCCATAAATCTGTAAGCTTCTCTCTTTTTTTTTCTCCTTTTTTGATCATTTTCAAATTTTATCTCTTTTCTATGCATACCCATTTCTTAGTTTAGTTGTAGTACTAAATTACAAGATTTTATCTCTTTTCTATGCATACCCATTTCTTAGTTTAGTTGTAGTACTAAATTACAAGATTATGAAGATTACCCACTTGATTTAAGAGGGGTTGATTTCTTAGTTTAGTTGTAGTACTAAATTACAAGATTATGAAGATTACCCACTTGATTTAAGAGGGGTTGGTGTCTGATTTCATGGGTTTTTAGTTGAATCTGTAACTGACTTTTGTCCAATTCGACCTGTTGTTGAACTTGCATTTTTGTTTTTGTAGAGTGATGGGATGGATTCCAAGGATTAGATGTAATGAGTGATGAATTTAAAAGGAAATAACATGTATGATTTCTCGAGATTGTTCTTCTCAGTTTAAACTAATTGACATTTAAAAAGTAACTTCGTGTTTAGATTCAGGGGTTGTTGAATGCTATAACATTTCATGAACTATTCAGCCTTTCTATTCTTATTATTGACGGGGAAATGGTCGAAGTTGGATTTTTTTTGTTGAAGTTAAAGTTTTGAAGAAGAGAAAAAATCGGTTAGCTGTGTCCAAATCACTCAGGAACTTGTAAGAAATGGCATTAGCTGCTTGTTAGGTGTACATGTGAATAGGCTAATGGTAGCACTCTTGTATCGTGCGCTTTTGGCCACTTTCCTTGTATGTTAATATGATCATCGGTTAGTTGTGTCGACAGGTCGAAAAACCCTCTAATAACTATTCATTTATTTGTTTCTTGTGGTGATTTGAAGGGCTGAAATTGGTGGATTGACTTTGTTAGGCGTCGAAGAGGGACTCTTGATGTCGTTGCAAATGGGTGTGGGGTAAAAGCCCATCAGCTTGGTTTCTTAACTAGAGTAAAAACATTTTTCCTTTTTGTATAATCTTCACTTTTCTAATTAAAAATATTGAGATGCTAATACGGAGGTCGTATGGATGATATGTGAATATAGATTTGAAAGATAGCTCGGTTCAAATTTCACGAGTTTTTGTTTTGTTGATGGATCAGTTAACTCATGAAAGCTTCAAGTTTTACTTACTATAGAAATAACCCATAAGGGTCCGAAATGATTGGAATTTGGGTTTTTGAGCCGTGATCTAATTTCTTTGTTTTTGTTGGTTGTCAGATGAGATCAGTGCTTTTAGTAGATCTATGCGATGAGTCAAGGAAAAGTCAGTGCATTGCTTTTTAAATTGGGTAAGGATCATTTTTTCACAATGAATACTGTAGATAGGTCGTTATCTTTCTGAACAAACGTCTTCTGTTCGTGCAACATCCACGGGTCGACCTGCTATGGTGGCAAAACAACCAGCACTGATACCATCGATTAAGCCATCACAAAAACCTGTTGTTGCTTCAATGAGAACAGACTCCCCTGTTGTTAGTCGAAGAGACAAAAGGTTGGTCTTTTTACTTCGTATCTATGTGTCATTAAGCCATCTACATTGTCTGTGTAATTGTTAAGATTAGTTCGTAAATTGTTTGAAAGGTTATCTCCTAAATTTTGTGACATATTATTGCTATTGGTGATCTAGACTCATATAAATATGAGATGTATAGGCCTTGGCATTTAATGCGTCTGTATTTAGTTTTTTTTAACTAAATTGTGAAAACTGAACGGTAATTATAATGTCTTATTCTCCTTTCATTTTCTTGTGATCTATTGCCAAGTTCTGGCTTAAACTTTCCCGTCTGTGCTGAATGTGGCATCGTTAATTTTTGTGGCAAACCAATAGGTTGAACAATAAAAAATAAAAAATGAGGTTGAATATGGATATAGAAGTTGAGCACATGAAGCTTGCATAGCTTTTTCTATATTGTAGCAATGACATGTTATGCACATCTAACTGACCTGTTTCTGGTTCTAGTAGAAGTTCTGTTAGTGAAAACTTAAAATTTAATAGTTGATAGAAAGCATTCTGCGAACAGAACAGACAATAATATAGTTGTAGAAAAAACATCTTGAAGCAAACTAGGTTCTAAAAAGACAGTGGCCTGAAAATGGATTGTTGTGAAATTGCTAAGTTTGATAACATGGTTCTCTGCTTGCTAGCACCAACTGAAATTATCAATCAACAATCATATTATTAGTCTGATAAAACCTAAACTAACTGTTAGTTCTATCCGGCAAGCCCAAGAATATGGTGTGAATTTTGTTGGTGGGAGTTTGGTCGTGATGGTGGTTCTTCATTTAAATTTTATTTGGTATATTATCATCCTCCTAATATGGTCTCTCATGAAATGCTTTCTATCATTCTTGTTCATATCACATAATGAGGAGATAACATGTGTCTTATGTTTAGGGTGTCGGTTGATTTGGGGAGTTTGAATATGAGAGAAACCAGCAGCATGCGACCCTCTTCTGCTTGTCAAGATGAGGTAACTGGATAATAAATCTTGGAGAGGGTATTGTATGATTTTGTTCTTTATTGTTTTCATTCTTTCTATCTACATTTCCGTTGCTTTCTTTATTGGTTTTTCTTCCATAGAGCAACTTGTCTGTTTCTATCTGTTTCTTTTACATTTCTTGACATCTGTTGACATGATTAGTCATTTAAAATGCAGGTTGATGAGCAACGTATCGAAAATGAAACTACTACTGAAAAGGTGAGATAAAGCAATATCCAAATCACAAAGTTAATAATTATACTGTTGTTTTGCTTTGAAAAGCTGGTAAGTTATACATAATTGGTGACTACTTTAAATGTCGTTGTGGTTAGAAAGTGCACTTGGTTTGCATACTCTTTTCTGTGTGATACTGATCTCAGCTTCTATGCTTTACCCTTACACTTGGTTTGCATACTCTGGTTAAGCTCTGATTCATGTTGCTGCTGATCTCATGCTGCTGGTTAAGCTTGGTTTGCATACAGATCACGCCATACTCTACGCAGAACTTGATTTATGTACTAAGGTTTATAATTGATACTTTATCTTTTGTTATTAGTGATGTTTTCTATAATTGTTTTCCTCTGGTTTTTGTTATTATCAGATTAATCTGTATTACTTAGTTATTCTGGCTCATATACTCAGAAATTAAACAGGAGAGCATTTTTTCTTTGAGTTTTGTTTAAATGGACAACATGTCCTGTTGACAATAAGCTACATGGCCTAAAACATCTGCATATATAATCATGTGTTCTTGAGGACTTCAAAAACGTGATTTTATTTTTTGTGTTGGTGAACCATTCATTTGCCACCTTTTACTGTGCTGTTAGAGGTCTATTCTTTATTCGAAATTAGTAACATGTAGATCTCCAATTTGATACCATATCACACACTTTGGTATTGAATATAAGTACATAACTAAGTCAATTATAGTTTGAGAGTATCGAGCACATATGCGCTTTCACTGCACATCATGTATTTATTGGATCTCCCTGCCGTAATTTGTGAGGTCAGTTCCATGTCCCTCCTTCCCTTTCCCTCTCCTCTTCCTCTGTGAACAACCAAAACCAACAGCACTGTTAAGGCCAATTTTCTGTGTTGGAATCATAGACAACAATCCATTTTACTAAGCCGATCAAGTTTTTTTTGTACTTCTGGTTTTATTACCTACTTCATAGTAAGTTATTCTTTATGCACCTGTTGGTCCTGGTCGACATGATTATCTCAAAATTTCATCGTTTATCTTTTGTTTTCATCATTATTAATATTTTGGTGATAGGCTGTAGCCTTATGCAAGTGGGAGCTCCATCGTATGCCTGTTAGTTAATTGAAACAACCAATGACAGTATACTGGATTTCCTCATTTTCCCCTTGTTATAATCAATCCCTACATTCTCATGTTATGCATTCATTCAGTATGCAAGTTGTTTACTAGTCACCCAAATTTCTTATGCATAAAGCATAATGGTCTGAGTAGCTGTCCTCCAGAGTTTATTGTACATCTTTAAGGGACGCTTTTAAGTGTAGCAGTTATTCTACTATAGATTGCCATTGTATTTGCTCGTAAATATTTAGAGTAGGTCTAAGTTTCTCACTTCCTTGATTCGGAAAAGATACTGTGGTCTAGACGATATACCATTTTTGAAGTGAATTTGAAGCATAAGAGTAGGATGGGACTGTTATACGTGGTCAGAATGAAATATCACATCCTACTGATGGACATTTGACAGTGATAAGCAAGGTAAGCAACATTTGCTCCTTGTATTATACATTTAGCAATCAGCTATATCAATTATGTTTACACCAATATTCACACAAGAAATTAATGCTCAAGCCTTATATATCAATATAGGGAAATGAGACCAGCTACCTGGAGAGTACCAGCTGCATGCTGACCCTGAAGGTGAATCGCTTTCACCCTGACCATAAAGAAAAGCTATGGATCAGAAAGAGCAACCTAACCATTCAAATAAAGGTATTGACTCTCTTTGCTATCATTAAAGCCAGTTTTTCATGCAGAAATTAATAAAGAACAAATTATTGTCTTCTTATTTTCATTAATAACAAATTTAAACAAAATTATTAAAGAAATTAATATAAGCTTGTGATTTTTAATTAATGGTGTTGAGATGATGAGTCTTCCAAGTCATATGTAATACAGCAAATTTGGTTTCTGTTGTTCTGTGTACTATGGTTAATTTCTTGTACTCCATGTTGGACTATCCAAAGACTAGTATTTGTTTTTTGGCACATTTTTGTTGACTCTTCTTGTATGCTACAACTTGGTTATGTATCAGTTTGAATCTTTAAATGAAATATTTCCTTTTATGGTTGTCACAATTGGATGTTATTTCTAGTTCAACCTCAAAGGTTTATAGGCACAACTGAAATGCTATAAGAAGTGAAAACAATTACTGAAATGCTATTAAAAGAAGAAAGACAACATTCACTGAAACGCCATTGTAGTAACTCAAACGCTATCAAATGTAAGACAATAGCAACGTTGAAATGCTATGAATGAAAACTAATTAATAGCGTTTTTCAATCGCTATGAAAGATATTTGTCATAGCAATATAGAAACGCTATTGAATACTCTTTTATAGCTACATAAAAACGCTATGGTTGGAAACTAACTAATAGCGTTTTCAACCGCTATGAAAGATATTTGTCATAGCAATATAGAAACGCTATTGAATACTCTTTTATAGCTACATAAAAACGCTATGGTTGGAAACTAACTAATAGCGTTTTCAACCGCTATGAAAGATATTTGTCATAGCAATATAGAAACGCTATTGAATACTCTTTTATAGCTACATAAAAACGCTATGGTTGGAAACTAACTAATAGCGTTTTCAACCGCTATGAAAGATATTTGTCATAGCAATATAGAAACGCTATTGAATACTCTTTTATAGCTACATAAAAACGCTATGGTTGGAAACTTTTTGATAGCGTTTGGGGAAACGCTATGTAAAACCACAGACCTACTATAGCGGGTTCTGACACAGCGTTGATTAAAACGCTATGAAATAATACCATAGCGTTTTTCGACCGCTATGGTAGATTTCAGGCGTTGTAGTGATTATTGGAGGACTTAGGGATCTCTCAGGAGACTATTCGGATATATTGTGATAGTATGTCGGCTATCTATTTGGCGAAGAACCAGGTTTATCATGCGCGCACGAAGCACATCGACGTCAGATTTCACTTTGTTCGGGACGTCTTGGATGATGGAGATGTCATATTGGAGAAGGTCCACACAAATGACAACCCTGCAGATATGTTGACCAAAGTTGTTTCAGGAGTGAAATTTGGTCATTGTTTGAAGCTTTTGAACATCCTTCAGTGCTGAGGCCTTTGGAGGCCATTAATATGAACTACGTTCGGCTTGATTCCTTGGGCAAGAGGATACGTAGGCAGTCTTTAGATGCAGCCGGTTTGATCAGTTGATCAAGATGGGGGGAGATCGTGTTTCAGCTCGAGTATTGTTCCTGGACTTGTTGAGGAACTATTGGATGATTTGGTGTCGGCTCAGTTTTGGTGGAAACATTCGCCGAGGTGGAGAATTGAAGAAATTACAGAAACTCAGAAGAATCAGGCAAACCAGGCGGCGGTCGACCGGTCCGGTCGACCGCATTCGTGTACAAAGCTTACTGTGCGACAGAAAGGAGGTCGGTCGACCGGGCCAGTCGACCGCAGGTGTTTCGGTCGACCGGTGCGGTCGACCGAGGGGTTCTCTGGATTTTGGATTTTCTACTGGGAGCTGGTCGGTCGACCGGGCCGGTCGACCGGAATTGATCGCGGTCGACCGTGCCGGTCGACCGACGTCGTTTTGGGCTGGGCTTTCAGTTTTTTGACCCGTTTCAGTTTGAAATCTATATATACCCTAAACCTGATTTGTTAGGTAATAAGGAGGACGATTTTGAGCAGCCTCTAAGAGAGATTTGTTGCATCCAATTGTAGGAGAGCTTTGATAGATCAAGTGCTTTGTTTTAGGGTTTGGTCTGAGAGATTTGTAACCCTATTTGTATTCCCTTGATTTCTAGTAGTAAAATCTCCCCCCTCCTTGCCCCGTGGACGTAGGCAACTTGCCGAACCACGTAAATTCTTTGTTCTTGCTGTGATTGTGGTTTGCATATTGTTTGTGGTTTAGTTCGAGTTATTGTTCGTGTTGCCCTAGAAAGCTTCCGCCGCGCACAACAGGATCCTGTTGGGCCCATCAGCCCTCGGCATCAGCCCTCGGCCACAGCCGCAGATTTCTCGACAATGTGTTCCCTAAACGCAACCTGACGGTGCTCGACACAATCGCCAACATCGGTCTCCTCTACTTCCTCTTGCTCGACACAATCCCTCACTACCACATAATTGATCTATTGCAACGGTTAAGGTGCAACGGTTTTAACTGTTGCGTTAGATATCTATCGCAACGATTTACAGTGCCTAATGCAACAATTTATAAAAAACGTTGTCATAGGCCTAGTAATTATCCCTGGACCAAATAATTGTTCCTTGGCTTTTGGAGCTTAAGTTTTTAAAGCCCACGACCCTGACCACTTAACGAAATATCTCCCTCTCTAACTCTGGAAGACTTTTGGCCCTGACCGCTTAACGAAATCCATAAAAATTTCCGCTCCCTAAAATCGCCATGGCCAAAATTTTCCGCTCCCTAAAATCGTCGTGGCCAAGATCAACATATAATCGTCGATCTCATCTCCACTCTCTTCACCTGGATTTCGATTTCGAAAACCCTAGAATCCTTCTTCGAGTCAATGAGCAAGGTCGATTTGATACAAGGGAAGCCCTAGCGATCCTCTCAACCTCGATCTTCATCTAATCTCAAGTAAGTTCGTGATTATTTAAGTATGTTTTTAGAAATTTCTGCGTGGATCGATTGATTTTCAGAAAAAATTATGCTAGATTGCAGGGGCTTTTTTCATCAGTGATATCTGAATTTCTAGATTGGTTCTAGATTTGATCTATTTCTCTAGAATTCGTGTATTATAAATTCAATTGATGTCAATTGTAGTCAAATTTGCTAATTTTCTTGGTGCACGTTGGGCAGAAAATAAGGGAAAAATGCTGAAAGTTTTGAATAAAGAAAAGAAATGCATTGAATCTAAAGCCTCCAAATCTCGAGAGAATAGGGTTTCAGAGGTAATCTCACTCTGGCGCTCAAATCCCTTTTCATCTCTCTGACGTTTGAAATGAAACCCGTGTTTTTGTTGTTAATCATCGTTGATATGCCGTGAGAAAGTTGCAATTTTTACTTTTTTTTAAATGCTCATTCCTTCTCAATTTGTGCCTTTTAATCAAATTGCAGAATTTTGTATCATAAACTGAAGAAAGGGAACGTACGTTTTTATTCTGCTAGTAACAAAAAAAAATTTAACAAACTTTTACGGGATTAATTGAATTCAAAATGTATAATCAGTAGTCAGAAAGAATAACGTCGCATGTTGTAATTTGGCAAATATGAACTTGTAGGATGTTGACAAAGCTTTTTCTACTTTTACCGCAGCGGAGAGAGAAAGGCTATATCGGATGATTATTCAGGTAACTTTTGTACATTTCCAATGTCTATCTTATGACCGATAATGCAAATTAGGAGTAAAAAATTGCTATCTTCAGACAATTGCAATTTTCTGGCTAATAGGAGACATGATTAATGCATTTTTTCCCCCTTTTAGCTTGTTTATTTTAAAGCAATCTCCCTGTTAGATTGTAAAATAACACCATTCCACAAAAGCCAATAATACATGTACTAGTACTTTTTAGCTAGTAACAAAGTTCTATGTTGTTTTTATGTCTTAAAATTAGGCGTTTGAAATGTTCTTTCAGGGATTCTTCAACCGAACCGTATATCGCTGCACATAATATCATATTATCCCACGCAAGGGCTGTTGGCATCTACAAAAACATCTACCAGATAAAAAATGTCAATATGCTGCATGCTTTTCATTGACACGAAGTGGTTATTAATGTGAAATCAATTATTAAGGCGAAACAAGGAGGCTCTATTGGAATTGTGATTATGACCCAGTGGTATGAACCTCTCAGAAATATCACAATAGACATTTTGGCAGCTCAGCGGGCACTCTCTTTTGAAATGGCTTGGTAATGTCAAGTTTGTTTGAAGAAGTTAATAGAAAGATTTCACTCATATATATGTCATATTTATTAAATGAAATATTGAAGTTACTTTTTGGCTTTATAAGGTTCCTGGATCCTTTACTACAAGGTGATTATCCTATTGAAATGCGTCGAGTCCTTGGATCAAGGCTACCCACATTCACAGATGAAGAGAAGACCAAATTACGAAAGGGAGTGGATTTCATAGGAGTCAATCACTACACAAGTCTTTATGTGAAGGATTGCATGTTTTCTCCATGCGAGCTGGATAAATTTTCAGGAAATGCGCTAGTATTCGCCACCTCACAAAGAAATGGGGTGCCTATTGGAGCTTCGGTAAGCGCCAAGAAAAATAGTAGACAGAGATTATCAAAAGTTTAGACGCAATCTTAGATTGTTTATTGGCTATCATTTATAAATATGATTTCATGTTGTAGACCGGGATGCCAACTATGTTTGTGGTTCCACATGGCATGGAGAAGGTGATCATGTACTTCATGCAAAGATACAACAACACACCTATGTACATTACTGAAAATGGTGTGCGCTGAAAACCTTTTTTTTTTTTTTTACTTTGAGAAAAGTGTAGGACATATCATGCAAAGATACAACAACACACCTATGTAAGCATGCTACAAAGCAATAAGGAGAAAGCCATTGATCCATGTGATCAAGTCCCTGAGTCAATTGTTCAAGCAATAACAAAGAAGGTGGTGGCCACTCAACAAGAGGAGATGAAGAGACAACAAGAAGCTCAAGCTACAAGTATGATTCAAACATTTGCAGATATGTTGAGTGAAGTAACTGGACGTCCAGTTAGTCCAAGCTTTGTTGACAGGTTTAAAGCGCATACTAAACTTCCTGAAGAGGCTGCTAGTGTTCTAGATCATAAAGAGGCAAGTACCTTTTACACTTCGACATTTCTTAGCCTTCTTAGCTCTTGAACTGGTTTCTATAGTTTTTTCTTGACTCGTTTCAGTTACTTCTTTTTCCTCGTTGCTTTCTTCTCGCTCTATGATAATACAAAGGGTCTATCCAATAAATAGTGTTTCGTAATTAAATGATTACCTTAAACTGGTTTCTGGTTGACAACTGTAGCATATCGGGAGTTACCGGAGAGTGTCATATATATAGGTCTTTTAACATAGCAATTGGGAAAACCACATTTGAAACGGGAGTTACCGGAGAGTGTCATATATATAGGTCTTTTAACATAGCAATTGGGAAAACCACATTTGAAACTGGTTAGTTTAGATTAAGCATTAAAAAAACCACATTTTTAGTCATCCAATAACCTACCAAATTTCTCTTTTTCCTGGAAAAAATAAAATACCGATCCACTTAATTATTTTGCTCTTAATTTTTTTTAACCTATTGCATGCACATTTTTATTTGTAAAAGGCAAATTCAATTTCATAGGTCTGTGGGATAGAGTGGGCCATGAGCCTAAGCTTTTGCCTATGTATACCAATACAAGTTGTTGCCTAATCCTAGTCAGATATCTGTCAAGATTTATCCAACTGTCATCTTTTGTAGTTACATAACGAAGTCTAAGCTGCTAGGAAAAAGTTGGCAACCGTAGCTCGTGGTCCTCGTTCAATTTTTTGTGACTTCCCTTATCACAATCAAGTTCCTTCACCAACTCTTCAGGTTTAAGGTAGTACAACTGATTGTCGTATGTTGCTTGAATTGTTTATACTCGAAATCATGTATTGTATTTTATGTTAACTGACAGGCACTAATCTAACAGTTAAGACTTACTTCCTGAATCATTCCTTCTTCAAATTTCGGCCCTTTATTTTTCTTCCATTGCGAGCTCGAGGTTTAGTGCATGTTGCGTGGTAGTCACTGAGGACGGCATAACTAAACCTATTTAGTATAAACCTTAATGGAAGTGAAGATTTCGGTGTCAGAAACTATTCCCCTGTTTCAGATTAACTGTATCCGTTTATTTGTGCTGTGTTTCTGGGATGTGTCATTAGTTTTACATTGACCCAGTGTTGTAGACCCAAAGATAAAGGGGCTATGAAACATATATGTTATTAAAGACTAACTAAGCCCCCAACCAATCGGCCTTCATCTAAGCATTCAGAATGCATTTTATGTATCAAGTAACTGTCATATGCACTTAAATGTTCTATACAATCTTTATGTGTAATCTATATCTATATAGATGAAACTTAACTGCAGTGAGATTAGACTGGGCTCAAACCTAGACAAGAAACTGGTAGCTTCGTCAAACAAGTGTCTGTTTGGTTCCGTTTCATTTAGTTTCAATCTATAAAGAGAGCCCAACATGCAGCTCCAATGAATTATATCCTTTCAGCAAACTGTTTATTTCGCTGCAAGTGAAAATGCAACATTTATTGTAAGCGATCTGCATGCAGCACTTCCTGTTAAGGAAGCTGTGCCGAATCCTTTTTATAATAAACCGCGTCAAATCCTTTTTACTTCCAAAAACTCGCAGCATCTGCTGCGGCCATCGCGAGTACATAAATGCTGCATTTGTGCTGCTGTAGCTCCATTCCAGAGAACCAAGAATCAGCGACGGATGCAGCTCACTAGTGTTTCACTATAGTTGAATTGGTTCATCCTTCTGAGCAAAATAGTCATTAATTTCAGGGTTCAACATATATGTTTTAGCCTGAAATAAAACATATTTAGTAACTAAACTGGTTTATCGCCGCTTTGTCCGAATAATGTTTAAGTGACTTAAAAAAGACCCCCTTCGCTCATTCCCTGTTGGGATTATGGATAAGGGTGACGAATATGGCTGTGATTAGATGCTCTTGATAACTTTAGCCTTTTTTGTTAAAATGGTTGGATTTGGTTGTGGCAACAAACAAGCATGATGTACATTGTTCTCTTAACTTCCTTTTCAAACATCTTTTTTCCCCAATTTTATTATCATCATTGCAAAAATTATGCTGATTCATGGAAATTTACACAGGTACAGAAATGATGAAAGCCAAGATTGAGATTGATACTGACAGGTTCCTAGTGAGTATTTGACATTGAGGAACAAGTTTTTAGAAACAAATAGAGAATATAGTCTTTGACCGAGAAGTTTCATGTTTTGTAATCAAATGTTGATGTACATTGTTTGAAAGTTAGTTCGGTACGATATTTTCTGAGTTGAAATGTTGGTAGTGTGGATTTAATACTTTGTAGTTTTTATACTATACTGATGTATGTTGGCACTTATCATTATGGTTGATTATGCTCAACATAATCATTTTTATATTGTGTATTAAAATTTGACTTAGCCATGTTCTTAAAAAGATTGTCCAGGTAATTGAATACTATAATTATTTTGACGAAGGAAACCAAGAACAGATTCGATTGAGCAGTTGCAATAGCTCGATTAAAACCGTTGCGATAGCTCGATCAAAACCGCTGCGATAGCTCGATCCAAACTGTTGCGATAGCTCAATCCAAACTGTTGCGTTAGGTCTTTTAAAACTGTTGCAATAGCTCCAACTGTCGCCGTAGCTTTATCAAAACCATACTTATAGCCTACTAAAACTGTTGCGTTAGGTCTTTTAAAACTGTTGCAATAACTCCAACTGTTGCCGCAGCTCTATCAAAACCATAGCTTTAGCCTACTAAAACTGTTGCGTTAGGTTTTTTAAAACTGTTGTAATATCTAAAAAAACTGCTGCAGTAGCTTGAAAACCATCGCAATAGCTCAATCAAAACCGCTGCAATAGCTTAAAACCCGTCACAATAGCTCAATCAAAACCGTTACAATGGCTTAAAAACCGCTTACCTTTTAAAACTGTTGCGTTAGATGTAGGGGCAACGGTTCAAAAAACCGTCGCAATAGAGTTCAAAACCGTTACGATAGAGGTAGGGCAACGGCAGTATATAAGGCGGTTTGAGAACCGTCGCACTTGCTCAAGGGCGACGGTTCCATGGCTAACGCAACGGTTTTGAACCGTTGCGTTAGAGCAAATATGTGGTAGTGCCTTTATTTTTTGCTCAGGGCAAAAAATAACCCTAACTACGCCACTGGTTGAGATAACATCACATCAAGGGTTATTGGAGTTTTATTGATAGGAGCACAGGTCTCAAGCTTTATTTCCATCCATGCCTCGTGAAATTCATTTGCACACAGTAAAGCATTCAATGGTCTTGATCTTTGAGCATTATGATGCACCAAAGAAATCTCTAGTCCGCTTTTAGATTAGCGGATTTGAGGATTAGAGCACTGATCCAATGTAGAGATCCTTTTTTGGCTCACCATTAATGTTTTTTTTTTTTTTGAGAAAAAGGATGGATTACCAAAATAGTAATCCAGCCAGCTAAATTAAAACTCACCGTTAATATTACGGGACTATGTTATATATTCTCCTGTTGCATGCCTTCCTTTTTGAAACTTTGTCAAAAGGATATGGAACATGGCCTGGAAAACAAAATAGAACTTGATATCACTGCAAACTTTTTAGAAGAACAGCGAGTATATATGTCCCGCTTTTCACTAATATAATAATAGTCTAAAGAAATATCTGAAGTTGTAAGAACTATAAATATCCCAGTGATACATGACCTGGAAAAACAAAATGGAACTTGATAACATTGCATTTTCTTTAAAGAGGAACCGGGAGTGCTTATGTTCACTTTTCATGACTTTAACGAAATGTCTACAGTTGTAAGAACTATAACCCAGAAAAGATAGCCAAAACACCCTCAGCCAAACCCCAAAAAAAAAATTCAGGCCAATAAACTACAAAAACCATCAATTTGTCCATATCAGTGTTTTATCCATCTCCATGATTATCTTCATCAGTAGTAGCATCCAAATCTGTAGAAAATGGTTGCCCATTTGATAGCCTTGATAACACATTCCCTTTCGTTCTGGTGCGAAATGATAAATACCACAATACGGTAGCACTGTATAGAAGATTTAGAAATATTATTGATATTATTTCGGTTATGGCTATAATTGAATGTATTACTGTCTGGAGGAGAAATTGAATGCTGATGTTATCTTTCTCTTATATATATTGACAGGTCTTCGTGATTTTGGGAATATTTCTCATCATTTATGCGAGTATTTTTATTTATTTGCTTATTTATTTCGCATCATAAAATGTAAATGGAGACCTCATCTGCATGGACAAGAAGCACCTAATGGGTGCATGATTTTACAAGCATTGTGTTACCAAGTTTAGATGTCTATTTCAGGCTATTTTCTTCCTGTTCTGGATTTTCTTTATGAAAGTATTATTGTCTTTGTAGGTAAATGTGATCAAGTAATTAATATTTGTTGCACTACTCTTTTTACCCTGTTTTCTCTTTTTTTGGATGCATATTACGAGTAATTTTACTAAGAAAAAAAATACTTGTACTAAGAAAAAAAGTAGTGCAACAAATAGTACTATTTTGTTTTTTGTTTCTTCAAGAGCTCAAAACCATTCTTTAGGATTCAAATCCTGTCTATTGGTAAAACTAAAATTTCTTTTATAATAATTAAGAAATAAAACAATGGATAAAAATAGGATATTGTGCAATACAATTATCAGCTTAATTTTTTATTCAATTCTTTATCCTCTGAAATAGATATTAGTAGCCCATCTTTAAAAAAAAACTCTTGGCATCCATTGCATTTCACAGGATTAGAAAGTTTTACAGGTACAAAGGTATTAACATTGCCAACCTCTCAAACACCTGGATTTATTTGAGGTTTTCACTAGGGGGGCAAAAAAAGAAACATGAAATGCAACCATATTACAATAAAACCTCTTAAGCAGCAGATAGCATTGCTCCGATTTTCTCAGCCAAGCTTTGCACAGTGCTAGGAGACACTGCTCTAGACCCACCCAAATACCATTTCTGTATCATTTCAGCCACATTTGCATTCTCCACCTCAATCTTCACTGCATCTTTCCCCTCAACTGTGTATGTTATCTGAAAATTTCGACCCCCAAAATTAAAATAATTGGAAAAAACAAGAAAAAAGAAATAAAGAACTAGCCTAATATATGCAAATATCGACATGATTAAATTACCTCTGGGGCATGAGTTGTTGCAGGGAAATAAAAGGTGATCGCTGAACCCTTTTTGAAATATGGGGTTTGGAAAAACTCAACAATCTTCTCTAGTTCTCCTTCTTCCTCATCTTCATATTTGTCAACATTTACCAATCTTTCCCTCACTGCAGATTCTAGTTGGAGGCCGAATTGGGCTCCTTTTATCTCTTTGATCACCACAACCCGGAAATATTTCTCTACACGAGCTGCACATATAGCTACTAGTTAGAATAATTCATGACGAACGTATAAACTTTGTGTACTTGATTGAGTAGACAAGGACTGGTGTGTTCCTATACGTTGTATGCTGATGTGGCATATACCAAAACTATCAGCTACGGTCTGGGTATGTTCGTGATATTTGTGCTACATCAGCAGCACCCTCCAATGGTGTTGGAGGTGAAGGAATTTCAGCATCAGCAGCAGAATCAGGAAAAACAGGTGGCGGTCGACCGGTCCGGTCGAC